CTAGCAACATGCCTAATGTATGTGAGACAAAGCTTTGCCAGCCTTGCCTTCAAGAAGCACTCTGGCTATATTTTCTGAAGACATATCTGTTGGTTCTTTTGGAAGTCCATGGGATATTCTGTACTCTTCTCCAACACCAGAGCTCAAAGGCATATATTTTCCTTCTGTCACCCTTATTCATTGTCCAGCTTTCAGCAGTACTGAAAGTGATTGAAAAGTCAGTATTAGGTGCACTCCAGTCCTCAAACATCATTGCTCAATAATTTGGAGAGGTCTCTAACTGCAGATTTTCCCAGTGCAATGTGTCTGCTGACTGCTGGTACCAAGTGTGTTGATTGTGGATTCAAGTAAGATGAAGTTGTTGACAGTTTTTAATCTTTTCCCTACCCATCATGATATTGCCTATTGGTCCAATGGTAAGAATTTTTGTTTCCTTGACATTGAGATGCCATCCATATTGAAGGCTACAGATTTTGATTTTCTGCAGCAAGTGCTTCATGTCCTCCTCACTTATGTCAACAATTATGTATTTCACTTTTTCAACACTGTCCAATTTTTCTCCATTCATACATTTCATGGTTCTAAGGCAAAACCTATACTTGGACCAAGAGGCAGTTGTCAGAACAGAGCAGGGAAACACTGCATGGTTCAAAATTGGGAAAGGTGTATGCCAGGAATGTGTCCTATTTCCATACTTTTTCAACCTGTATGCAGAACAGATTATTCGAGAGGCTGGGCTCTATGAGTAGAACTGTGGCATCAGGATTGGTGGAAGATCTGTTAGCAACCTGCATTATGCAGATGACACAACCCTGCTTGCTGAAACTGAGGAAGACCTGAAGTGCTTGCTGCAGAGGGTCAAGGACTGCAGCCTCCAATATGGATTGAGGCTCAAGGTCAAGAAGACAAAGATTCTTATCACTGGACCAATTGGCAGATTAGGGTGGATGGTGAAGAAATTGAGATTGTTAATAACTTTAGTCTTCTTGGTTCCACGGTCAACACTCTTAGCACCAGTAGCCAGGAAATCAAAAAATGTATTGTGATGGGAAAGTCTGCTGTTAGGGATTTCTCCAGGGTACTGAAGAGCAATGGTGTCACTCTGGAGACTAAGGTGCGTCTGATACAGGCTATGGTCTTGGCAATCACTTGTTATGCATCAGAGAGTTGGACAATGACTAGGGAGGATAGAAGAAGAACTGATGCCTTTGAGCTGCGGTGCTGGAGAAGAGTACTGAATGTACCATGGACTGCCAAGAAAACAAACAGATTCATCCTGGAGAGGGTTAAACCAGGCTGCTCCTTGAAGGCAAGGATTCTGGGTCATCATCTCACATACTTTGGACATGTTGTAAGGAGGGACAGGTCCTTGGAGAGGGACATCATGCTTGGGAGGGTGGTGGGATGGCGCAAGAGAGGAAGACCCTCTATGAGGTGGATTGATTCAGTGACTGGGGTAATCGGGATGGGTGTGTCAGAGGCAGTGCAGTTGGCACAGGATAGAGCAGGGTTTAGGGCTGTTGTACATAGGTTTGCTATGAGTCGCAAGCAACTGGATGGCACAGAACAACAACAACAAAAATTTACAAGTATTCCTCATTTTTTTGTGTCTCCCAATATGGAGGTTCAGCCTCCAGTGCTATATACGCCACTGAGTACGCCACTGTTTTTAGGGTTTGCCAAGGTCTGTTATTTCAGAATGAATGGCTAATCTTTCTTCCTAGTCTGTCTTAATCTAGGAACTATGCTTTAGTACAGTATCTGACAGACAAGTACTGTACCCAAAAGAGCAGATGGACAAGCAAATATATATGTACCCAAGTTTTAAGAGCAACTGCATTCAAAGATATTATATAATACAAAACTAGATGGATGATACCCTTAAGAGAAAACAAACCATATAGATAGAATGGTGTGGGTGTCATGGATTCCCATATCCACAAAGTTGTAAAGGCCTGAAGGTTGTCTGGCCTTGGCTGGGAATGGTCTGCATTGATTTTCCCTTCCTCTCCTCTAGGAGATAAGGCTTCTAAATAATCCCTAATATAATGCTCACAACCTGGTGAGCACGTCCAGGGAAGCATCTGTTTGTTGTCATGTGGTGTGCCATCAATTCCTGAGGATTTGTTTTTTGCTAATTCTTTGAGAGCAGCTTGAACTTCTTTTTTCCTCACCATAGAGTCTTGATCATATGTTGTTTTCATGAAATTGAGTCAGCCAATTCTTTTTGGTATAGTGACTTTGTGTACATTTCCCATCTTCTTTTGATGCTTTCTGGGTCTTTCAAAATTCTGTCCACCGCATCCTTAAGTACTGCAACCTGAGACTTGAATTTATTCAATTCCTTCAGCTTAAGAAATGCTGAGCAAATTTGTCCCTTTTGATTTTCTAACTCCAATATTTTGCACATTTCCTTTAATACTTTACGTTGTCTTCCTGTGCTGCCCTTTGAAATCTTCTGCTCAGCTCCTTCACATCTTGAATTCTCCTCTTTGCTTTGGCTTCTTTACACTCTAGTGCAATATTCAGAGTGTCTTTTGACATCCATTTTAGTCTTTTCTTCTTCTTCTGTCTTTGTAATAACCTTTCGCATTCTTCATGGATGATATTCTTGATATCCTCCCCCACAGTTCTTCTGGTATTCACTCATTAGTATTCAAGGGCTCAAACCTGTTCCTGAGATGGTCTTTAAATTCAGGAGGGATACCACCTGGCCAAAAGACTGGAAGAGATCTATATTTATTCCAATTAGAAAAAGAAAAAAAAAACACAGGTGACCCAACAGAGTGTGGAAATTATCAAAGAATATAATTAATATCACATGCAAGCAAGATCCTACTAAAAATTATCCAAAAACTAGAATAGCACATCAACAGAGAACTGCCAGATATGCAAGCTGGATTTAAAAGAGGCCATAACACTAGGGACACTATAGCCAATGTAAGATGGACCTTAGCTGAAAGCAGAGTGTACCAGGGGAATGTCTGTATTTCACTAACTATGCTAAGGCATTTGACTGAATGGGTCACAACAAACTGTGGCTGACTCTGAGAAGAATGGGAATCCCATAACACTTGATTGTACTTATGTGAAACCTGTAAGTGGACCAGGAGGCAGCTGTCAGAATAGAGCAAGGAAACACTGCATGGTTTAAAATCAGGAAGGTTGTAGGCCAAGGATGTGTCCTCTCTTCATATCTTTTTAATCTATATGGAACAGACTGTGTGGGAAGCTGAGCTCTATGAGGAGGAATGTGGCATCAGGATCAAAGGAAGACTCATCAACCTGTCTTATGCAGATGACACAAACTTGCCAGTTGAACTGAGGAGGACCTGGAGTACTTGCTGCACTGAATAGATTTTGACTCATGGAGACCCCTTGTGTACCACAATGAGAATGCTCTGGGTTTTCCTGGTTATAATCTTTACAGAAGCAGATTTTTAGGTCTTTCTTCTGCTATACCTCTGGATGGTTTACTCCACCAATCTTTAAGTTAGTAGTCAAGTGTGGCTGTTTCTGCCATGCAGGTACCCTAACAACTAAAGAGTAATAGCTATTAAATATAAGTTTTTCCCCATCAAGCTCAAAGAAAGATTTCAATTCACATAGCATCCTTTTTCACCTTTCTTTTTTATTGCAGTGAAAATCTGCAAATTTGCTTTTTTATGTAAATATTCATACACAGTTTTATAACATTAATTACAACACTCACAGTTTAATCCCATTATTCTCACTTCCACTAATCCTTCTATCCTACTCCTCCCTGCCTTTTGGCTTTATCTTTTGGAAAATGCTTCTCTTTTGACCTCATATGGTTGTTTATTCTAAGGAATGAGTGCCTCCTTGGTGTTACTAGTCACCTCATATGCTTGTCTACTGTTTGGCTGAAATTTGAGCCACATGGGTGAGTTTTGATCCAGGTCAGAAAAATGACTAAGGATCACAGTCTTGGGTTCCACTAGTGTCTACTGGACTAGGATGCCTGGCCTTTTTTATGTTTTTTGTTTGTTTGACTACCTATCCCCCCTACTCTCCCCAGGATCTTCTCTGTGATCCCTTTCAGAGCAGTCAGTGCTGGTAGTTGGGCACCATCTAGTTCTTCTGGTTTTAGGGTTCCAGAAGTTGAGGTTTGCATGATCCACTAGTCCTTTGGACTGTGTCCATAGATCTTTGCTTTTCTTTTCTTGGCTTTGTTCAAAACAGACAGAAACAAACAGCTGCACTTTAGCTGGCTGCTCACAAGTTGTTGTTTTTTCTTTCTTTCTTTCTTTCTTTTTTTAAGCTCACAAGTTTTTAAGACCCCAGGTCTTACTCACCAATGTAGGATGTAGGACACTGTCTTTGTGAACTCTCTCATGCCAGGAGACCTTGATGTTCCCACAAACTGGAGTCCCCAACGTCCTATAACCAGCAAGTCATTATCTGAGAGTGTTTGGTTATGAATAAGAAGCTTTATGTAAGCTATGTTCATTGCTCACATAATTAGTTCATTGTCAATACTATTTGGATGAGACCCCAAAGAGCAATATTTTCTTCTGTCGTGGTTAGCAAAGCAGTGAAAAGAAGACAAAAACTTAGTCACAAGTTAAATGGCGAGGAGAAAAGACCCAACATTTTATTTTTTGCTACCAGTTGTTTCTTAAACGTTACACAGAGCAGAGGTCTAATGATTAAAGACAGAGTAAAATATACTATCTTTTCCAGTCTTAAATTTAAAAGGTCCTTTGAGACAATCTAGCTCAATTTCTTCATTTCTTGTTAATTGAAGTACAAGATTTAATACTCCACTTCTTATAAGCACCTCTTCTTGGAAGAGTTCATCTTTACATGGAGTGATCTCACCTTTCTAAGAAAATCATGATTATTTCGATTTTCCCTTTATGGTAAAACAATCATGTAGTGAAAATGTCTGTGTTTCTAAAATCCAAAGATGCACTCCCTTGCATGTATATTCATGTATAGGACTTCTGCCACTGCATGTCCTTAACTAATCTTACAGCTTATAAAACACATGAATGAGTAAACCTTGGAAAAGGGATAACATCTTTGATATTTTCAACTCCCAAGATGCACTGCAGGTAGCGTTCAAATCCCATCCCAAAACCTCCATGTGGCACAGATCCAAATCGACGAAGGTCCAGATACCTGTTATTTTTGTGAAAACAAACAAAAAACCCAGAGAATGATCATTTACAAATGCTGTATGAGATCAGATGTTATGATCAGAATTTTATGTTTCTATTTTGCAATCATTTGTTATTGTCCACGTCATTGTGGTAAAAACCAGCCCTTTCCCTCCATAGACAGATGAAGGAAATACAAAGTCAGAGTGACCTATCTAAGATTACCCAACCAGCAGCAGATTCTGCTGTGCAGTGCTGTGCTGTGGTCACCTGACACAAGTTGTTTATGTATCTACATTCAGTAAACTGCCTCAGGAAGGCTACAGAAAAAAAAGGTAATGGATTTCTTTATTGGTTTTCCTAAAATGCATTCCTTTTCAACTTTTTGGGCTGTGATGATAACTTAAAAAAAATATTCCAAACCATATTGCTCAATAAATAGAGGAAAACTAAGAGTTTTACCTGATACATTACAAAATAGAACAAACATTCCCCACCCCCAACTCCTTTTGAGTGTCAGCTATACTAGGGGCAGGAACTGCATGTCATTTTGTATCTCCAACCTGTTATTATAGATGTTGCTATATATATGAATATTTATATGGTTTTAAGGCACATAAATACACTCAGTGCTGGGGTGAGATGAAACTTCTAGTTGTCTAGTACAGGCTTGACTGAAAAGGTTCAGTCTTTGTTGGAAGTTCAGAAGCCTCTGAAGTACTTCATACATATTCATTTTTCCAGGTGGGCTAGGAGGCCTCAGAAAGAGATTTAAGCACCATATCTCAGGGATAAAGATTTGCCTATTAATCTGTGTCTACTGTATACACAGTGGATGTCCTTAGCTACCTAAGTCGAAGGCTTTACCAGGGTGTACAAACACAAGTATGCATCTGATCTACAGGGCTTCAGAATTCCCATTCACATACACTGTTAACTAAGCAATATTAGTTTTCTAGTATCTGAGCTTGCCTATTTTCACTTGCATTAATTCTTGAATATCTTGATTTCTTCCATCTCATATTAACTGATGAAATGAGGATATGATGTCCACCAACATGTGGTGAGAAACACGTTGTCTCCCACATCACAGATAAGGGAACTAGTATCAGAGAGGTTAAATTGAACATTATAGGGTTAGAAAATGGTAGAGCCATGATTCAAACCCAGATTACAATATACCAGCAGCCTGGGATAAAGTTATTTTAAGAGGGGAAGAGGAGGAATAACTTTTATTATGTCATCTGTGGGACACTTTTTGAGTTATTATGTATTGATTAAAACCACCTTATGAATTCTTGTATGATTTGCAAAATCAACCTCAGAATGAGATTTAAGCACCATAGCTGGTAGCAATGAGGTTCCTCAGGGACAAAGATTTGCCTATTAATCTATTTCTCATGTAACAATAATGGTTATATTTAATGATGCTTTAGGGAGTCAAGATTAAATACGTGTATTTTCAACATTGAAAATGAATTGTAATTAGCTGAGTTGCAAGCAGGGAAAAAATTGGTATGATAGGAAAATCTAGTATAAAATGACACATCAGGAAGAACCATACGGAGTAAGAGGAGGATTACAGTCTTGAGTAATGAAATGTCTGATAGATGGAGCAACCTGAAGTTTAGAAAGCATGAGGAAAGAGTGTATTTTTCCTGAGTGACACAGGTCTGCCAGAACCTGGTGGGGCTGCTGACTCTGCAGCAACAGCTGGTCTAAGTGTCTCACACATCTCTGTTAAAACACAGTCAGCAGAGAGGTTCAGTTTGGAGCTAGTTTTCTTACCTTTGCGTTGGTAGAAGAAAAAAAAATCTACTCAACAAAAATTTTCTAAAAACATGAAATGGAGTCTTATTAAATTACATGTAGTTTGGCAGATTATACAAGAAGTTCTAGACAATTTGTAGAACTAGCTACAGATTCATTTGCATTCGGCATGTAGAAACTAGAAGTGAGCACATTCTTAGACTCCTGGGGTGGCTGCCCACCGTGTGCTGGGAAGCTAACAGAAATCACAGACTGGACAAATGCCAAGGCGCTTTCCATCTTTAAGACATGATTACTAATGTAAAGGAAGCAAATTCAAATAATAAATAGCTCCATTTGGACATCTGCAGAATTTGAAAGCTTCAGTTAGGGAAAGAAGAGTTTTGAAATTATTTATAGGGATCAGAAAAAGACTAAATTTAATCAGTAATGAAGATTTGCATATAGGTCTTTATTATGACTAGATTCTACATATGACTATTCTCCATGGTGAGAGAGAACCTGAGAAGTATATAGACTTGTTCTAATAACAGGACTCAGAACAAAGGAATAAAAGGGGAAAGAAAGTTAGTCTTTATTGAGTTTCTATTCTAGTTGTAGATATTTGACCTACATAATTTCATGTCATTCTCAAAATAATCCCCTCATGAAATAACACAAAATAAATATTTGTATGTATTAAAAGATATCTGGGGAAAGAGTTGGTTCAAAGAAAGCCAGAACAACTCTGGGTAAGGGAATGAATGAACACAGAAGTGTGATCAGAGTTCTACATGTGAAGATTTTAAGATCACATGGCCCTTGATTTTATAGAGAGAGAAACTAAATCGATAAGAACAAAGATTTCAACTGACCTGTGGTCAAGGTCTAACCTCACCTTAACCTGTATGATCTTGGTTGAGTTAGCTAATGTCAAAGAGTCCTTTGGCCCAGAGGGATAATAAACCAGAGATAATAATAGCACCTAATTGACATGGTGGTGTGCTGATTAGATGAGATAATATATAGATAAAACAGAGTTACATGACATATATTAAGTTGTTATGTGTCCAGTCCCTTGTGACTCAGTGACCCCAGGTACAACAGACCTGAAACCTGCTCTATCCTGTGCCAACTTTAGTGGTTCTGACAAACCTATCCTCATTACCCCAGTCACTGAAGCAATCCATCTCACCATTGGATTTCCTCTCTTTCTCTGCCTCTCCTCCCTTCCAAGCATGATGTCCCTCTCCAAGAACTGATCTCTCCTGGCAACATGCCCAAGTATGTCAGACGAAGCCTCAGGATACTTGACTCTAAGGAGCAACCTGATTTCACCCTCTCCAGGACAAACCTGTTTGTTCTCCTGGCAGTCCATGGTATATTCAACACTCTTCTCCAGCTCCACAGCTCAAAGGCATCAATTCTCCTTCTGTCCTCCCTAGTCATTGTCCAGCTCTCTGATGCATAGCAATCAATTACAAAGACTATGGCCTGCATCTGATGCACCCTGGTCTCCAGAGGCAAAAGAGAGGTTCCTGACAGCAGACTTTCCCAATGCAATTAGGCTTTTGATTTCCTGGCTGCTGGTGTCAAGAGTGTTGATTGTGGAGCCAAGTAAACTAATGCTGTTAATAATCTTCACCATTTATCATAATGCTGCCATTCAAATCATCCCAGTGGTAAGAATCTTTGTTTTGATGTTGAACTTCAATCCATTTAATAAGTAGTAAATAAATAATCACTGGTATTCTGACTCACAGCACACCTGTGGGGGCAGGAGAACTGCCCACAGGCTTTCCAAGGTTGTATATATTTAGAGAAGATTGCTTCATCGTTCTGTGGAGTGACTGGTAGGTTTGAACCACAGACCTTTAGTCAGCAGCCAAATTGTTGGACCACTACACCACAAGGGTTCCCTAGTAATGAATGGGAATCATCATTACTCTTTTTCAAGGACCCATGGGTCTTAGCAGTCATCCGTACTATCTCAGAATAGTTAAAATCTAAATATAGAAAACAAACAGCAAAACTCTTCTATGTAATATTTAGAACAGCAGCTAGAATAAAAATGATTAGGGGTCACATTCTTACCATTGGTAGGTGTCTGTCAGTCCTGATCTGTAAAGGGAAAATAATGAAATTCTTTCAGGGAATGGCAACAAAATCAATATAAAAAAACAATTGCTGTTGATTCTGATAGCAATTCCATAGGACAGGGCCAAATTGCTTCATAAGGTTTCCAAGGCAATAAATCTTGATAAAAGCCAATGCTACATACTTCTGCCAAAAAGTGGTTGATAGATTTGAACCATCAACCTTATGGTAAGCAAAGATGCACTGTGCCACCAGAGTTCCCTCAAGATAAATACATTAGCAACCAGACATTTATTCTGGGTTGTATGCAAAGAGCCCTTTAAAAAGAAGTATAAAATAAAGCCTGTGTCCTCAAATAACAGGCGATATAGATGATGAGCTGAAATATTAGTATATGAGAGAAAACATGAGCTAGTGTATATAGGAAAAGGCTCACTTGAGTTAGGCCTGGTGCCATGTGATTATTATTAATAACAACACTACTATTATTACTTAAAATTATTACAAGGCATAGACAGAACACAGAAGAAGAAAAAAACTTCCAGTTTAAGACATTAAAATGATAGAGATTCTGTCTTTGCCTTCACAGGATGGTTTAAAATTGATTCTTGTCTAACTTTAGAAGTAAATGTTAATAAAATTTTAAGTTCTTAGTATTTCTTAAAATTCTTTTCAGCCCTTTATTAAAATGTTTAGGCTCACATATGAAGTGACCAGGATTCAGAAAAATTAAATATTTAAAAGTACAGGTAACATTAACAGAGGCCACAGACGATGTATGAGATAGAGACACACCCATACATTTCATTAGGAGAGGTAAATTTGGATATTATCAGATATTAGGCACACATTTAATCTGTTATGAGAAAAGGCTTCCTGAAGAAGGAAGGAAGCAAAGAAAACAGCCCAATTAATCTTTCAACAGATGAGGTATCTTGCCATGTGTGATTTTAATTATCCTTTTAGAAAAACCCAGAGAATCCTTAGGTTTTTTTTCCATGTCAATCCCATAATTTTCCCAGAACTTTCTAACAACACAGTAGTACTAGAATAAGGAGTTAGTAATTTTATCGATAAAAGCAATTTTCCCAGAATTATATATTCCTTTTTCTTCTGGATCCTAACCAAAAAAGAACAATTCAAATTATTGAGGTTACAAAATCAAGTTACTCAATTTGTAGGTTAGAGTATTGGTAAATCATCAACTATTTAAGTATTTCTCCATTTGGAAAAGAAGGCCATACAAGTGGTTGATTTAACAGGATATATTAAAATAATTATGGCTTTTCCAGGTTACTATGAAACCCAGTATCATCTGGAAAGAAGGATTAAGGCTACAGACATGAGAAAGCTGTGGTTTTTTCAAAAAAAGTTTTTTAAAAGTCTGGCAAAAATGAGAGTGAGTATCATGGAAAAGGGGTTTACAACCTTGGTTAGTTTAGGAAGTAATTTGTGGTTTTTTGGCAGCCCATGCATATACACGAGCGGTAGTTCAATTAGAAACATAATTCTCTACAACCCATCTCCAAAACACTTTCTCTTTTTTCTTTTAAATGAAGCAAAATAATTTATTAAAAGCATGAGAACATTTAAAAAGAAAATTATAGACTTCCAGCATATGGAGATTGTGTGTTAAGTGTGGCTGTTTCGTGAGAATAGTTATAGACTGGGCAAATCCCAAACATTTTCTGTATGTTTACTGAGTTGATATAGTTAATTCAAGTTGCTCAAGATCTGTAGGTAGCAGAGAACTTGGAAAAACCTCTTTATTGTAAATGCTATTTATTATTTTCTTTGTGATCTTTACCTTTTCCTTGGTTCACAGTCTTTCTTTTTGTCCCTGTAGGAGTTTGTCAATCATATTTGAAAGCAAATTTGAAAATGAGAACAGAGAAAAGAAAAAAAGGGAAGGGAATCCCCTTTCTCTTTTTATTATGAATGTTTTAAAAAGGCAACTTTCTGTAGGGAGAGATATATGCAAATGGTGAGCAAATACTGGTATAGCCTTGCTTCCCGTAATAGTTCCTGTCTTTGACAAAGAGAAGCTTAGAGAAGTTAAGTAGTAACTTACTCAAGGTCACATACAATCTGATACTCAGGTCTGTCAGGTGTCCAAACCTAAAGTTCATGAGCTTCTCTCTTTTATTATGTCAGAAGTACCTTTGACTGTCTCATTCCTAATTTCTGTAGTGTTTCTTTTGTGTCTGAGTAATACCTCGCCAGTTGCTGCTCCAAGAAATGGTATCGTTCCTCTCTGAGGCTTCCTCCAAAGAGCTCCCCTACTCCAGGGACCAGAAGATCAACAGCAGCAACCTATAAAGAAAAAGAAAGTCACAGATAATTTTATATTTTCAGCATGATTTCAACAATAGCTTCTCAAGTAAGTGGAGCTTTGAACATTTTGACAACCTATTTAACTGCTCACCAGAAGTGTGTTAACTTAATCTGTCCATGTTCCATGTTTCAATATCATATGATTAACTTTTTTTAAAAAATATGATTAACTTTAAAAAGCATGGCACACAGAATTGAAATTGGGACATTTCCTCGCCCCTCTTGCACCACATATTTGGTGCATTTGATGAAATTTTTTCCTTTAAAAAATAAGAATATAGATTCTAATTAAATGATAAATATGTTATTGTTGTTGTTGTTAGATGCTGCTGAGTCAGCTCTAACTCATAGCAACCCTGTGAATAACTAAACAAAACTCTGCCAGTTCCTGTGCTATTCTCATTATTTATGCTGTGTGTAAGCCCATTGTTCTGGTCAACATAGTGGTCCATCCATCGCACTGAGGTCTTCTTTTTTCACTGACTTTTTTCTTTTCTAGGTATGATGCTCTATTCCAGGGACTGGTCCTTCTTGGTAACAGGCCCAAAGTAAGTGAGAGATGTCACACCATCTATGCTTCTAAACAGCACCCTAGCACACTTCTTTCAAGATAGAGTGGTTGGATTTATTAGAACCCTATGTATAGGCTAAGCTAGTCAATATTCTCCATCAACACTAAAATGCAAAGACATTAATTCTTTCATCTTTCTTATTCCTGATTCATTGGATCAGCTGCATCTTTGTCTGTTAAAGTGATATCCTCGCTCATTTAACATTTTGAAGAGTTCTTTGGTAACCAGTGAGTCCAATGCACTTTGTAATTTGATTTCCTAACTGTTGTTTCCATGGGCATTGTTTAAAAAACAATGTCTAGACCTTCCCCACTCCAGCAAAAAAAAGAAGAGAATGTAAGACACCTTTCAAGAGAGACCAGATGTTCTTACTCCAGCTACACCTACAGCAGCAGCAGCCATGGGCGAACAGCGACTTGACATGAGATGGGACCTTAAGACTGTCATATAGTATTGGAATAGCAGCTAAAAGCCTTTGCTCAGCTAAACTTTCCAAGCATGATATCCCTTTCCAAGATATAGCTTTTCCTAGTATCATGAGAGCTAAAGCTTCTCCATCCTTGCCTCCCTTGAATTTGGACTTCTAGCCTCCTAAATTTGAGAGAATAAATTTTTCTTTGTTAAAAAAAAACAACAACAAAAAACCCAAACCAACCCACACCAAAAAACCAATCAAACAAACAAACAAACAAAACCAACAAAAACACAAGAACAAAAAACCCCCAAAGTCTAGGAAATGGTATATGGGGCCACAGGGCCAAGTTTCCCTCTGAAAGGGCCAGAGGGATTTAGATAACACAGGCATTTATAACCCTAGAGCAGAAAGCAGATAAAGAGCCCGCAGTCCAGCCCCATGGTGCCTATAGAGCCCCACCAGTAACAAAAGATTTACTTATTTGTTGTTGACTGACTCACCATTGTGGTACTGAGAATGGGGTTTATTAGAGAAGTTAAGTTGGAGAGTGAGGGAGGCAAAGACAATCATCCAAAACAAGTCCAGGTTTTAGCCCAAGTTCCCTGGATTTTAGCCTATGGCACAATTCCTCAATTAGTACAGGCTCTGGTTTCAGTTCAGGAGTCAAATCTAAATCATCCATCAGGTTTGTCTCAGAACTGTTTTAAGTCAGCTTCTCCTTCAAGCATCAGGCAAGAACAGCAAAAACCTTTAACTGTGGTCTTTATTTCTGGGCTCCTCTGCTTACATCTTGCCACAGTTTCACCACAGCAATGCTACAGTCTCTCCACCAGCAGGGTTTAACTCTTAACAGAGTCTTGCTCCAGTCTAACTCAAGTCTTGCCACCAGAAGTCTTGCTCACCTTAAGTCTTGCTGCCCAGTGTGGGAAGCATTCTTTTTCTTATCCTAGTCCCACAGTCATGCTGATTTGCAAGACCATGCTGATTTGTAAGACCATGTGTCTCTCGTTAAGATAGCTGGAGACCAGAGGTAGCTAATTGTATGGACTAAAAAAAGGTCAACTTTTAGGCACTGATGATGGATAAAAGTAAAATTAAATCTTTGACAACTTCAATATTTTATCTGTTTATCATGATGTTGCTTACTGGTCCAGCTGTGAGAATTTTCTTTTCTTTATGCTGATGTACAATCCATATTGAAGGTTGCAGTCTGATTTTCATCATTAAGTGCTTGAAGACCTCTTAGCTTACAGCAAACAAGGTTGTGTCATTTGCATATCACAAGTTGTTAATGAGTCTTGGTATACTCTTGATGGCAAGTTCTTCATACAACCCAATCTCTTAGATTATATGCTCAGCATACATATTGAAAAAGCATAGCGAAAGAACACAACCCTTCTTTCATGAAGATGCCCACCTTTTCTGATTTTAAATCACACGGTTACCTTTGAATCTACTTAAATGACTGCATCTTGATCTATGTCCAGGTTCTTCATGAGTACAATTAATTGTTACAGAATTCTCACTCTTCATAAGACTAGGTCGATTAAAATCCTACTACTCTGCCGTGGTAGTCAAGACAGCATGGTACTGGTACAATGACAGACACATAGATCAATGGAATAGAATTGAGAACCCAG